AAGTCTAGGTATACCACGACTACCGCTTTTCCCTTTTCCACAAGGCGTGTTTATCAAAGAAAGGTAACGGTTTGGTTTGACATGATTCGTTCTTTACAAATCCATGCTGTCACTTGTCACCTTATCTTCTGGATATTTGCAAATTGATTTCTTATTTGCTTGCTCCATTATCTTTCCTGGCACAGAAGTTAAACTGACTGGCCTATAGTTTCCTGGTTTATTCTCATTTCCCTTTTTATATAGATGGGCACTATATTTGCCCTTTTCCAGTCTTCTGGAAGCTCCCCCATCTTCCTTGACTTTTCAAAGATGATAGCTAATGGCTCAGATATCTCCTCAATCAGCTCCTTGAGGATTCTAGGGTGCATTTCTGCAGGTCCTGGTGATTTGAAAACATCTAACTTGATGGGCCTCTTCCTATAGAAAATGGCAACTTCTAGTTTCTTTAAGTTTTTTTATTAAATACTGTTAGAAATGCCAAGTTAGTAAGGCTATGAACAAGATGGAATTTATGAATAAAAAAAAACTGGAGTAAAATCCTGGCCCATGGAAGTCAGTGGGAGTTTTGTCACTGACTTCAATGGGGCCGGGATTTTACCCCCGACGTCCCCCTTTAAGAGAGACAGGAGTAAAAAAAGTGACTATGTAAAACAGCATCTTCTTTACACAGATCGGATCCTTCCTTTTGTGTTTCTTTTCAGTAAAACGACAGTTGTAATTCAAATTTTTAGCAAGATTGGTACCACATGGCCTAGATGGCTCCTGAAAAGTGACCTGGATTCTTTTCCGTGCCAACTAAATTGTAACTGCAATATTTATGTGGTTTTGTGTAGAGGTCTCAGAGGCAGAGAAAGTCCTTTATTTTTAGATCTTAAGCAGAGATTTCCGTCCTGGCAGTGCAAAGAAATCACTCTTTTGCTTGTAACCAGACTAAATCAGATGTAGAATCAATTGAGGGTAAATCAATGTGAGATTATTTGTACAAAAATCTCTTTTCAAAACAGTTGAACTTCATTTTCATAGGTTTGGGAGGGAAGGCTTTTAGAAACTAAGCACCAGATCCTCAGCTGGTATAAAAATCATTGTAGCTCTAGGAGCTATCGCACAGAACTTGAGCCGTACATACCGGGGGGAAAATGAAGGAAAACTATTTGCTTTAGGGATGTAAACAACTAGTTGAGTAGTTGACTACCCAATAAGCCTGGGCTTATTGGGTAGTTGAGTTACTATTTGACTAGTCTCTTCTCCCCCCGCCCCTTTGCTGCCTCTATTAGAGGCAATGGGGGGAGGAGGGGAAGCAGGAGCTGGTGTTAGGAAGAGCCAGCTTAAAAGGCAGGTCCCACAACGCCATCTCTGCGGGAGGCAGAGTTGCAGCACAGGACCAGGTGCGAGCCGGGATAGCTGAGTCCCTGGGGTTCTGTGCTGCGCCTCTGCCTTTTAAATGTACTAAGAGTTGTATGGCTCTTACTACATTTAAAATGCAGAGCTGCAGTGGGGTTAGCTCCTAGCCTCAGGAGCTTACCGTCCTGCAGCTCTACAGTTTTCCCCCTTATCGACTAATCAAGTAGCTGATTAAATGCAATTTAACATCCTTAATTTGTTTATTCATTTGTTCTAGGGCATGGGGACAGAGATTAAAAAAATTAAGTATGATTCCAGTATGCAGGAACTGAGCGACACTGACAATTGCCAAGGAAGCTTTATGCTGTTAAAATCACATCCAGTCATAGTCTGTCTACATTGTGCAGCATATACTTATAAATAAAAGTAGAGCTGAATAATACATCAGTTCTGTGGCTGTATTCCATTCCTTTTTTCTCTTCAAAAAGAAATATATGTTTTAGGATCCAATATGCTGCTTGGCAACACAGTAATATGGCAAAAACTGATTCCTAGAGTAACTCCACTGAAGTCATCAAATTTACACCAGGGCTGAATTTGGTCCAGCATATATAAAAGGAATACAGATGGAGACTTTTATAAAAGACATGTCCTATTTCAACATGTTTTTGTATATTGCTGCTACAGTATATAATTTAATCTATTTTCTTCAGCGTCTTTATTTGAATTTCAGTCTACACTGAGAACTGGTGGCAGCGTTGGGGGTGAGAATGGATCCTGTGAGTAGCTTGGATTCTTTGCAAGACATTTTCTGAAGAAATAAAACCAGTAAGTTCTAAACCAAACAGGATTTGTATAAATTAATACCATCCCACCCCCTAAAAGCCTTTCTACTTGAAAAGCCATTGAAGAATCAATGTCATTACTTCAACAGATGACAGATTAATTTTTTGGGCAAAAAGAGCAAAATTTAAACCACCTACCAATTCTTTAGTGTGATAAGGTGGGTGATGTTAATATCTTTTATTGGCCAACTTCTGTTGGTAACAGAGACAAGCTTTCAAGACACACAGAGCTCTTCTTCCAGACTGGGAAACACACTCCCAGAACTGCAGAAAAATACTGATAGTTTAGCATAAGTAGATAAATACATATTACAAATTACAATGTAAGGCAGAGTGCCCTGGCAACACATCACTGCAGTCAAAAAACAAAAAGAGGGGGGTTAGTCAGTTATAGATTGTTGTAATAAATCGTAAATCCACTGTCTCAATTCAGTCCATTTAGCTGTGACACTCAGAGTCCCTTTTCTATACTTGAAGAAGAGCTCTGTGGCTTGATAGCCTCTCACGCCAACAGAAGTTGGTTCAGTAAAAGATATTACCTCATCCTCTTTATCCCTCTAAGATCCTGGCACCAATTTGGCTGTAACTACACTGCATATAAAATTCTTTAATTTTCCAAAAATGTTCCATTAAAGAGTACCTAAAATGTAACAGACCAAATACAAGGACTTGCTGAATCCATGACATTAGCAGGTACACAGATTTAGCCTATGAAGATCACAGAAAAAGTTGCTCTTACCTACTTTCTGAATACATTAAAAAGAACTAAAAATTATTTTCTTCATTTGGAATGCAATTAGTTAGTTCCAACTTCATCTTGTTTAGAGATTATTTTCTTTTGTATAGCAAGCCAGATAAGGAGATTTAATAAACTTACAAAAAAGGTGTAAAACAACCCTGAACACTGTACAGATTTTAAAATACTATAAACATGGTTTAACAGAAAATAACTCATGTCCTCATAATTTTGAGAGAGAGATTACTATTTTGCTTTTTTTTCCTAGTTCATTTTTGCCCTTTAATCCTTGCTTTTCTAAAGAACCTGTTTATAAATACTTAATCCCTAAGACCACAAGACACTCCATGCTCAATAAAACTGAACCTAAATGGATTCTTAGACAAATATTGTTTTATTACGGGGACAGCAGAAACACATACCAGTCCATTCTTTCAATTGGAAAAGAGAAAAACACAGTTTTTAAAAAAATTATGGTCCCTTAAAATGTTTAATTTATACACAAGGCTAGGACTATTTATATGACAGTCTTATTTTTTATAAACATTTATCAGAAAAACCACATAAAAATTGTTCAGTATGTAGGAGGATGTGCACTATCTACACATTCACTTACATTGCCTGTCCTTCAGACACAATGGCCAACATTTGCAGACTCTGGCTGCATTCAGTGACATTTGCATTGCAAAAAGGATCATTTTTATTTAAGTTTCTAAATACAGATTTAGGAGCCAACATTAATATACTCATGTCTGAAAACGTTGCCACTGCTATCAGGGAGGACTGATTTACATCAATGTAATTTAAATGAGCAAGCAGGAATCCTTGGTGTAAATAACAGATTTTAGTCTTGTTTTGTATTTATAGTTATTTCCCTAAAGAAATGTCCATTCTCATTGGCTGGCTGAATGTTAAAACATGTTGATCTTCATGTTAACTATGGTACTTCTCTGTTGCTAACCAGGAGAATACACTACATATATTTTAGTGTTTATATGCCTGGACTACTTTTATTCAGATTTTAAATTTATAATTTTTTATTTTATTATAGAATGAAGAATTATGCATTTCTCATTTACCATATAAGTATTTTTTTAGTCATGATTTGTATCAAGCTGCATTTGGATAAAAATTGGAATTAAAGTAAAATGCATACAATTACATTTTAAACTTGTTATTAAATACTACTTTAAATAAAATACATGAGAAATAAAGTCTAGCCAAGCAATGATTTGTATCTAAACCAAACTGATTTATTACATAAAAAAAATAGTAGTATATGTAGTTAGTGAAGTGAACTGATTGTTTGTGGTCACCCTGTCCTTCAGGATTTTAAAACTAGTAGATCTTATCCTCTCAGCCTTCTAGGTGGGAAAAGTAAAACAAGCTTTCTTGCTTTATCAAATCACATTGTGTTTCTCAACTTTGAATGAACTACTCATTGAACTTATCTAGTCCAATAAACTAAAAAGATTATATTCTCTCTGTATCTGTAGAATAAACTTATTGCTGTCAAATCTGATTTAGCGCTTCAACAAACTTTGGCTTCAGGTGCTTATCCAGTGGCTTAACTATCTTTAAAACTTGTAGCAAACACATACTGTTTGAATATTTTAACATATTATAGTAAGTTTGGGTTTTAACGTGATTGTCATAATTGGAGAGAAAAATCAGTATTGTATATGGAATTATCACAGGATCTCTGATTACAGTATTACATTAAAATATATTATGTCTAGTATATTATCATAATTTTGTACAAACGGCATACTGTATTTTGGGTACTGATAGCTAACAAATGCGCTATTTCCGCCCCCAGCCATTAGTTAAAACAGTCTGTAGACCTGTGCATATTAGTAAATATATTGCATGTGTAGATTACTTCCCTTGGGACACTGGCTCAGATTTGCTGGCTAGAGTGTTGAATGGGACAGAGCAAAGTCTTCATCTAACCTCCATCCTCATCTGCTCAAATGCATTAAAAAAAAAAAGTAGCAGTCCTTGGTGCCTGCTCACTCTTTTGCACCTTCATGAACTGCAGGTGGTTTATTGAAGGGAACAGGGCTTCTGAGACTAACCATCTGGCTCATGAATTGCTCCTACTGTCCATTTTTCAGGGTTTATGACAAAACCATAGCTGAACCCTTTAACTGTAGGCTTTCTTGTCTTTTTTCACTTGGCAAAACACCTAGAATACCTGTGAAAACAGCAGCAATGCTCAATGAGTATGAAAATAGAGATAGCAGCTGTCTCAGGCTTATAAACACATGGTTTTGGTGGTTGTATTCCTGCTTACATTTAAATTCATTTTATCAATCCTTTAGGGTTGGTTTGACACTATGATTCCCATGTACCATTAGTACTTACATATTTGTCCAATTGGCTGTGGTATCCTGAAGTGCAGGCTTCCTCACGGCTGCCGTTCCTTAGCTTAGCTGAAGTGCTAGTCAGAGCTCCATCATATCTTCAGTTTCCGTGGCCCATGGGACTGACTGCCTACCTGCTCTCCCCACCTGCACTCCCTTTCTTTTTGAAAGGCAAACAACAAAAGGGTTTGTTTCACCAGCTCTTCATTTGATTTCCTTGGAGTAAATCAAGAGCAGCTCCGAGCTGCAAAATGGAGTTTCCAGGATTTTATGATTATGACCCACAGTATTATTACTATTTTTAATCTCATTAATATTGACAAACTGAACAGGTTTAGTCACTAGACAAATTTCTGATCAATAAATTACTCTGTTTAACAGGATTCAAAGTTTAGCTTTTATTTGGTTTTAAATTAAAAAAATAAATTTTGTTATTAAATGGGTCTAACTAATGTTTACATATTAGTTTACTTGCTTTAGAATTCCCCCAGAGACACAATAAGGTATATCACCCAAACAAAAAACCTTTGTAAGAAAGATCAATAGTAGCATAATTCCGTTAAACTGAAAAAAAAGTCTTATATGTTTACAATGAATGTTAGAAGTAAACCTCTGGGTTTAGTGCCATCCAGATCTAATTGCCATCTCAAAGTCAGTTATATTCAGGATACTATACCACAGTGCTAATGTCATCAGCTTCTTCTGGTTTCTTTTGCCTGCTTGGCAGGGATTTCAAGTACTCAAGGTGCCTTCTTGCATCCTCTTGATTTTGCCGCACATAATAAACCACATAGGATATCACCATGGTGAACCAGCCAAACATGGTAACTAGCATGGCATAATCAGTAGTCTTTTTAGGAAGGTTACAAAGGTCTGCATCATTGGCAGCATTGAGGAATGGTCTCCCAGCATGTTCATCTAACACAGAAGTCTTACAGATGACGTTGTTGGCTGTTTCATGGTTGGAAGCCATACTCCTCAGGACCTGCTGCAGAGTACAGTCACAGTGCCAAGGATTGTTTGCAATTCTGGCTCTGGCCTTTAAGTTATTGAAAGCATTTTTGTGCACACTTTGAATACGGTTGTCAGACAAGTCCAAAGTCTGTAAGGTTTCTGCCACTCCTTTAAAGGCATGTTCATCTATAAATTCAATACCGTTTTTGGATAAATTGAGGACTCTCAGTTGATGTAAGTCCTTAAAAATTTCATTTGGGATGGATGTTATCTGATTAGAGTCCAAATAAAGTAAGACTGTTTCAGGAGGAAGATCTCTGGGTATTTCCTTGAGATTGGCATTGCTACAACTGACATTTAAACCTCCAGAATGAGAACAAAGGCAGCCTTTTGGGCACATACTGGCAGAATGAAAGCACAGTATCATGAGGACAAAACTTTGTAAGAGCAGACACATGGAGAGGGAACGAGTTAACCACAGGTCTACCAAATGCATGCTGGGATGTCAGCATAATCATACAACCATTTCTGATTTACCCAACAGTGACGGTAAAGGATTCTGTACAGCCAAAGTGTAGCTTCATTTTCTTCAGCAGAATTAGTAAAAATGGACTAACAGGTAGACTTCCTCATGGTCACTATTCTTCTTAAAAATAGATCTAAAGAGAGAAAAAAAAGGTTCCTTAGATAGCACAGTACAATCCCAGATTAGTCCATTTAAAAGGAAATAAGTGAAATCTAACTGAAAAGTATTGCACAATGGTCTAATATCCTATCAACACACAGGAGAGTTACTCAATTAACTCCTATTAGCATTCATTTGAGTTTAGTACTAAAATTGAAGCACATTTTTAAGATGATACACCATAATAGTCCTGAACTACAGAGGTTTGGTCTTAATATCAGACATTTATTATAAGAAACAGCAGTTTGTCTTTATCATGAACTTACTAAAGTAACAGCCATAAAATGTAATTACATTTTTTAAGTCCAATAGCCGGCAAATTAATAGGATTTTCAGTTGAACACCAGCTTCAGTGACAAAAAAGACCAGTATTCTTGCAGTTAATGACCTCATAAGAAAATACTTCTTATTTTAAATACAAATTAGAGAATTTAATTGAGGAAACATTTTTCTGAAAGTCTCATTTTAAAAACAACTGAGCCAAATATTGCTGGAAGACACAATATAAATTCATATCACATGTGTATATTTCCCCCTTCAGTTTCTTTTTTGCTTTTGATCGTTTTGAATCTTTTAGTTCAAGGAATTTTGCTAGATCTGTAGAGTTCTAAAGAAATATATTTAATCTTCCATTTTACATCTAAAAAGATTTAAGTAACATACAGAAAACAGAAATAAAACACATTTGTAGCCATTCTAGGTCCATTTGTTTCCATTCACACACTTTCTCAATTTTTAGTGGGTCAGACATTTTCAAACTTTTTGAGTTATATGTTTTTAACTCAATGAAAACTGAAATCCCGTTAGGGAAGGGTTTGTGAGATTCCATGGGGAGCAGAGGATATCTATGTTGCCATCACTGTTGCTGGCACTGGTAGATCCTGTAGCATTCATGAAATACACTTTTCAGTGGCTCGCCACAGCACTAGCTCTCTATATTACTGAATATTTTAACCCAATTATATATGAGTTTTAGTAAATCACTTTGCTGAAGCAGTTACATTAGGGCAAAACACACCTTCCAATATTGCTTTATGTATCAGGTGTGTTACATGTGAGTATTCCACTGCTGCTTCAGTGGAATGTCTGAACTTTTACAGAATCCTACAAGAGCCTCCTACAGAGAGTATTTGCAAGACGCTACCACATTTACTTTTACAATGGTGAGCTGGGAGAGGACTTGCAGGAGCCCTTTGTTACCAAAGGTGGCATTCTAGCTCCATAAACAGAATCTCAGTTTTCATTTAAAAAAAACAAAAAACCAGTTCTATCCTTCTGCTTGCTAAGCTAACCTTGAAAATGTAAAATGAAGGAAAACAAATGTTAAAAAAAGATTCACTAAGGTTGAAGGAAGCAGAAGCGGGACTCTCAGTCTTCAAAAGGGAGGCTAGGCAGAACATAAATTTCTATGCCACGGACTATGTAAAGTAAGTCCATTGGGAAGTATCCTTAAGAATCTTCTTACTTAACCTCCCTTGAAGCTTTAGGTCATCCCTGTGACCAGTGCTGTGATCATGGAGGGCAAAAAACATTTATAGTAGGAGATACAAAAAATTTGTTTAATTAGCCTGTCCAAACACATTTAATGCTTGCTACAAAAAAGCTTAGTGCTTGTTTAGTTCTTTCTGAGGCTAAGATGGACTTGGTAGCTCTACATGCTTGTGGTGGTGGGAGCTGCTGCAAGAGGAACTCTTCTCTGCGAGGTTAACCAACAACCCCATGATCCCTGCCAGCTACTCCAGCAGCATGAGTGGGCCAAGCTGCTGATGCACTGTCAGGAAGTTCTGCAGTAACTGAAGCTCTCTTCTCCCCTCCAGAGCCTGCCTGCCCAGCCCCAGCCTGAAGCGTAAAGAGCTGAAACAGACCCTGCACACCACTAAGGGAAAACCTTCTGTCCCAGCCTTCACTGCCCACCCATAAGTCAGAGCAGGCACACCCACTTCCGTAGGAGAGATTTACATTCCTTCATTTTTAGTTTGACTGTGACGGGGTGACCTCGGCCCCGCACTGCAGAACAGGCTGTGGGCTGGGCTCAATTGGCTGAAAGCGCCCCTCCCCCGCAGCCTTACTGGGCATGCTCACAGGCGAGCTGCAGTATAAAAGGCCCTGAGACACTCAGGCAGGGCTGACCGCCGAAGGGGAAGGAGCTGCGGAGAGAGCTCCAGAGCGGGAAGAGCACTCGGCACATTTAGGGGAAGAACCCCCGGCTGAGCAAGCGGTGGCCTGAACCACGGCCCATAGGGCCTGGCTGGGACCCGGTGGAGTGGGAGGGCCCGGGTCCCCCAACCCCTCCCTCTGCAGCGCTCCTAAGCCTGTGGACTGGGCCTCAGGGCCGTATTTACTCCAATAGAGGGGAGCACTGAAAGGACTAGGCCTTAGGGCTGTATTTACCCCAATAGAGGGGAACCTTGAAAGGACTAGGCCTCAGGGCAGTATTTACTCCAATAGAGGGGCGTATTGCAAAGACTGGGCTGCAGGGCCGTACTGACCCCGATAGAGGGGCACCACAAAGAGTAGGCCATATTTATCCCAATAGAGGGGAGCATTACAAGGACTAGGCCTCAGGGCCATATTTATCCTGATAGAGGGGAATATATCAAGAGACCAGGCCCAAGGCCATATTTACCCCCAACAGAGGGGAGTGCTACTCCGACTGGACCTCGGGACCATAATGACCCCGATGGGGGAGGAACGCTATAGGGACTTAGGCCACTGAGCCACACTAACCCCCTAGAGGGGGGATCTGGGATTCCGACTCTGGCCATTGGACCATACAGACCCTGATAAGTGGACCCATGAAGGAGTTTGACCACTGGAATCCGCACGAGGAGATCGCATCCCTCAACACTGACCATTTCTTGAATTCAAACCTAAACAGAAGATTCCCATCACAGCAGTCTCTGGGGCTGGTTCTATGACTAAACTCCAAACTTCTTGAAGAATCTCACTCCGCACAGAAACAACACGATGCCAATGAAAGAAGCCCATAAGCAGTGGGACTCTCTCATTCTCTCGGAAAATTCTGACCACAAAACATCTGTACCATGGCTTATAAGTGGAAAGACTCAAGCTCCATCACATGATACATATCCTTTTCATCTTGAACTTCTTCCTGTAAAATATTTATTTAAAATGTCTCTTTCTTTACTTCTTCCTGGGAGACATGTGATGGATCATAAATGAGGTACTGACATTAAGTCACTAACCTAGCTCAGTATCACAAAGGTGGCAAGTGTGGTCTTGTTACCTACTGCTCATATTCTGCAACTTTTTTACTAACAAGTAATACTGGAATCCTTCTACAGGAACACCCAACAGCAATGAGACTCCCCCTCAAGCTATTTCAAGTAGCCTGCAGGCATCAGAATTGCTGATTTCACAGCAAACCAAGTATTATCGTTGTTCTCTTCACTAGGGCCTGCGGCTCAGACACTACATTTATTAAACTGCATTGAAATGAGTATTCAATATATCCTAGTGAGAAAGCAAGGTATAACTTGATCTTTGGCATATGCCCAGATGTGCAGCTACATCAGTGTTTTCCATGACATGAGTCAGTATCAGTAATCTGGGTATGAAAATGCAAGAATTAGCTTTATGAACTGTGAAAGATTTGATAGTTATCAATCCAATGAAAAATAATTTTCCATACAACAGATGCACGACACCATATTTCTACCATGATGTTACTGGACAACTATTTAATGAATGCAGAATATTAATTATAACTAATATTCTGTGAGTAATTCCACTTACATAGCAGGAATCTTTTTGGAGAGCTGTGTCAGCAGGTCTAAGATCCTGGGAGTTGTGTACAGAAAAGTAAGAGGTGGGTGACATTTCAAAGAGAACTTGAGTCCACCCAAACAATCAGATTTATAAACACCATCCTGAACTCTAAGAATGCTGATAAGCATCCAAGTGCAGAACAATAGCAAATGTTTCTATTTTCCTTCCTTCTGCACATTACTCTATGCTGACTGCCCAGAGTGGTCCCAATGCTACAAACTGAGACTTGAGAAATAACGTAATTGTTATTTTAAACTTAATGTACTCTTGAGACTGCTGACAGTGGTTACGCAGGAGGCCATTTATGACTACTACTCATTGTGCTAACCGAAGCTTGTTTTAACTTTACATCCTCCACACCTCTTCACCCTTCATTAGTCCAATTCGTCCACCAGTTATGTTCTTTTGTAGACTACTTTGTAAGCTTGTTGGAACAGGTACTGACTGTTTAAGTGTTCTTCACAGTGGCTAGCATTATGGAGTGATGATCTCTGATTGGAGCCTGCTGGTGCTACTGGAATATAAACAAACAAATAATAATAAGAAAGCATCCAAGCCAAGTGGCTGTCTAATGCAAAGGATGTGAATACTTTAGAAATGTCCTAAACTTACTAATTTACATTTCATTATTCATACAAAGGTTTATCCACATATTTATGTGTTATTCATTGCTTGCTATAAAAAGTAACAATCAACAATCTTAGTGCATGGTATTTCTTGAGAATTAATGACTAGCTAGGGATGACAGTCCTTAGCTATACCTTTTTTCCCCCCATTCTCTTATATACAAATGCTACAAATCTAAATACTAATTGGGTAAACTAAACTGCCTGTTAATCAATGAGGACATTGAGGGCATGTCTACATTAGGAAATTATTTCAAAATAACTAAATTAGAATTAACTCCCGAAATAACAAAAATCAAAATAGTGTGTTCCCACTTTGGGAGAGTCTCAAAATTAGTCTGAGGCAGGCCCCCTTAATGTGGATGTGCTACCTTGACTCAGAGCCCCAGAAAGCACTGGGGAGTAATTACTTTGAATTACTTTGGGGAATAGTTATTTCAAAATAGCAACAGTCCATAGTAATGCTATTTTGAAATAATAATTTTGAAATAAGCATAACTCCCTGAGGAAAGAAGGAATGCAGATTTTGAAATAACAAACTTGGTAGCATGGACACTCCACTTATTATTTCAATATAAGAGGGGTCATTTCAAAACAACTCCCTTATGTAGACCAGGGCTGATACAGCTCTGTGTGAATACAAATTTTGTATCCGTACTTGTATCTGCAAAAATAAGCCGCAGATATCCGTGCTGACATCTGTGGATGCAGATGCCCCTGGATATCCACAAATCTTCAGGGTTCTAGATAAAACATTTTCATCCACATTTGCACCTGTATCCGCAAAAATAAGACACAGACATTAAAGCACTGGCTCCCACCTTTGCTGCCTGTTTGGGAGGGAGGAAGGGGGGCAGCTCAGTTGAACCAGCATGCACGGAGAGCCAGCTTAAAAGCAAGCTTCCCCATGTGTATTGGCTCCTACCTGCACTACCCCACCACACTGCAGCTTTTGATAGGCAGCAGCGCAGGGAGGGAGGGCAGGTGGCTCTGCAGGATACGGTGCTCATGGGGAGCTGGCTTTTAAGCCAACTCCCCACAAGCACCTGCTCCCAACTGCCCCGCATGCTGCTGCCTCTAATACAGAGGCAGCCAGGTGAGGAGTTTGCATGTAGTCATAGGGTATGTCCTCACTAGCCTTCTAGTTCAAACTAGGGAGGCTAATGTAGGCATTCGAAGTTGCAAATGAAGCCCGGGATTTAACTATCCCGGGCTTCATTTGCATCTTTCCGGGCGCCGCCATTTTTAAATGTCCCTTAGTCCGAACTCCGCGCCCGTGGCTACACGCGGCCCGGAGTAGGTAGTTCGAATTAGGATGTCTAATTCAAACTACCTTTACTCCTCGTGGAACAAGGTGTACCGGTAGTTCGAATTAAAGATCCTAATTCAAACTACCTACTCCGTGCCGCGTGTAGCCGCGGGCGCGGAGTTCGGACTAAGGGACATTTAAAAATGGCGGCGCCCGGGAAGATGCAAATGAAGCCCGGGATATTTAAATTCCGGGCTTCGTTTGCAACTTCAAATGCCTACATTAGCCTCCCAAGTTCGAACTAGGGGGCTAGTGTAGACATACCCATAAGGACTAACTGATAACACACAGGCTTATCAGTTAATTGTTTAAATGTCTATATGCTAACATCCCTAATTCTAGTGAGAACAATAGAAAAGAGCATGCACTCTGATGAGTCACATATAGTAAGAAAAATATAAGAAGGCAGACCAAGAAATAATTTGAAGAGCAACTAGCTATGGACACAAAAACTAAAAGCAAAAATAAAGTTAAAGTACATCAGAAGCAGGAAGCCTGACAAATGGTCAGTGGTGCAACTTGATATTTGAGGTGAGGTTTGTCTGTAAATGGGTGACAGGAGAGGGATCACGTGAGGGTTACCTGTTGTGCTCCCTCCCTCTGGGGCACCTGGCACTGGCCACTGTCGGCAGATAGGATACTGGGCTAGATGGACCTTTGGTCTGACCCAGTATGGATGTTCTTATGTTCTTGTATGCTAAAAGAGCACTCAAGGAAGACCAAGCAATTGCAGAGAAGCTAAATGTATTATTTGCATTGGTCGTCACTGCAGAGGATGTGAGGGAGATTCCTATACCTGAGATGTGAAACTTATTGTCAGAGGATGCTATGAAAGGAAAAATATGTGAGCTGGCAACATGACTATGATTTCAAAAATTACCAAGGATCATCTAAAGTTTGTTGAGATCCATCTACAAAGTACTCAATAATTAAATCTAACAATTGATAAACTAAAACAATCTCAAATGAAAACTCACAACCTACATTAGAGGCAGTGTAAAACAAGGAGTGTATTGAAACACTTATTTTGGTGTTGTCTCAAACTTGCTAGCAGAGCCACACTTCCATAGGATGGTTCAGAGCATCCTCCTCAGGCCTCACGCTTGGGGAGGGGGGGGGAGAGAAGGGGCACAGCAGAGCAGGTGGGGTGGCCCTGCTTGCTAGGCTCCCTAGATGAAGAGTACCTAAAACTCATGGGGTCAGGTTAATTAGAATTAAATTAAGAGAGAGAAGTAAAATACACCCTTCTGGTGGGCTGGCCTGGAGGAGCAATTTTGTCTTCTATTGGAGCCCCAAAAAACCTCTAGAAATGAAAACCAAAGATGCGCAGAGCCAAATCAAGTGCCTTCCCTAACCTCCCTGGCCACACTGCCTTTCTGGTGAGCCCATTATACTATCTTCCATAATACAAGGGTTTTTTAACTATTTTCACATCTCCTGATGGGCCTTTTACCAACAGGGAAATGTGCCAGGTACTGTGCTGTCGCTGTGAAGCAAATCTTAGCCTCCTAAATTAGATTTTGCCTTTGTTTTACCCACGAAATGCAAGATACCCACCGCTGACCTCAGTGAGTGCACAATTTGGCCTAAGGAGCACTTGTAATTATGAAAACATGGGCTCTTTTTGTTCCAAATAAAGCAAAACACTTTCCACCTAAAGAAACAAGTTGAATGAGTTCCCAAGGAAAGCTGGAAATCATCACGAAAAGGATAGACAGAAATCATCATAATCCCACTATATAAATCCACCGTACACTGACATCTTGATTACTGCATGCAGATGTATTAGAATAGGAAAAGGTTCAGAAAAAGGGGACAAAATGATTAGGATATTGAATGGTTGCCATACGGGAAGAAAATAAGAATGGGAATTTTCAGCTTAGAAAAGAGATGACTATGGGGGATAAGAATAGAGGTCTATAAAGCCATGTCTAGACGACATTTTAATTTCGAAAGAGGATATTCAAAATCCATGAGAATTTGCATATCTTCTTCTGATCGCTTTTTTGAAAGCAGGTCTTTCGAAAGTGAAATTAGTCTGGACGCAGGGTTTTTTTTTTTTTTTTTTTTTTTTAAAACCCCACTCTCTCAAAAAACCACATAAACCTACTTTTTTCAGGAAGAGTGGTTTTTTTGAAAGGTGTTTTATTTTTCCAAACCCCGCCACCCCCCACATCCAGACTACTTTCACAAGACCAGCTTTCAAAAAAGCAATCAGAAGAAGATATGCAAATTCCTGCAGAATTTGCAAATCCTTTTTCTAAATTAAAACATAGTCTAGAAGTGCCCTAATATCATGACTGGTGTGAGAAAGTAAGCCTTTACTTACTCCTCCTAATTACACAAGAACTAGGGATGACTACATGAAATGAATAAGCAGCAGGTTTAAAATAAACAACAGGAAGTATTTTGTCACACAATGCACAACCACGGTGTAGAACTCCTTGCCAGAGGATCTTGTGAAAGCCAAGACTATAACAGAGTTCAAAAAAGTACTAGAAAAGTTAAATAGATAATAGATTCATCAATGGCTATTAGCAATGATGGGCAGGGATGGTGTACCAAGCCTCTGTGTGTCAGAAGCTGGGAACAGGTGATGGGAATGGATCACTTGTTCTGTTCATTCCCTCTGGGGCATATGACATTGGCCACTGTCGGCAGACAGGATACTGGACTAGATGGATCTTTGGTCTGACCCAGTATGGCCGTTCTTAGGTTAAGTTCTAAGAAGCTAGTATATCTTTGTATCCTGCCCCCACTGCTCTCTTCAAGGAAATGGAAGATGGCAGCATGCATTTCAATGTTAGAAACTTTTGATAGATATTACATGTAGGTTAAAAAGTATAAACACAGCAATATCCAAGGTGAGAAAGTTCAGATTATGATCTTATTCAGGGCCATTTCTCCCAGAAAGATACCCACAAGGTTATTAGAGATGAAAGTGATAGACACATAGCACTAAGATGTATTGTACTTAAGTCATTCCATATGCAAAAGATACTTGATATTACACTTGCAACAGACATATAACTTGTATGGATCATATTTATTGAGAGACCTCTCATATTCTCATGTTGGTTCTGTTTTCCTATTTCTACTTTTCAATAACATACATGGTTAGAATATTATCCACCTCTACCCCGTTTCTACTGAAGGGCTGGATCCTCAGCTCATGTAAACTGTCGTAGCTATACTGACTGCAAAGAATCTGGCCCACAGCTTTTATTTGTTCTTACTGATGTGGAGCTTGTTACTGAGATATGAGTGGAATTTATTATTGCTGAAGCTTACATGCTCAAGTGAGCAGGAAAGAAAGAAAAATGTGGTGAAGAGGAACAAAAATGTGGTGAAGAGGAACCAATTCATCAATTGAAAGGGATGACCTGTCAGTTGAGCTATGATCCAGTTTAACCTGTGTATTCTGCCATTCTTCTATTTCCAGGGGAAAAAAGTATGAATCGTTACTGATAATACCTTAGTTTCCATAAAAACATTATGAAATTCATAATGCTCCACCAATAAACAAATTCTTTCCAAAATCAGCTGAGTTAAACTATTGATTTGATGTCTTAAAAAATTAAACTATCTGATATTTTAAAAAACTTTAACTACCACCAGATGCTTTGCTGTTGACAATTTTAGACACGGTAATCTTAAAAAGTTCTGCTTTGAAAAGTGTCATTGTAAAAATAGTACCATGGAATTCTGTTTTTGTTATGGCTCACTGATTCCATATCCAATTTCTCTAGTTTACAAGTTTTTTTAAAGGGGATTTCCTCTTGTAACGGATAATCCTAAAAGGACAGCCTGGTGCTTCAAATGTCAAGCCAGGTTCTTTTCTCCTCACACATTATTACCACCAATGAGAGAGATTTTGAAGTCTAAATTATGCCTTCTGCTTGAGCAACTCTATCATCTTCAAAATAGCCCCCCCGGCCTGGTCTACAATGGGAGCTTAAGTTGAACTTAGCTGCAATTAGATTGATTTTTTTAAACGAGTCCATGCCACCAAGCCTGTTCTATCGACTTTAAGGGCCATTAAAGTATATTTTTTAACTCCTGCTTTCATGAGAAGTAACTGCTAAATTTTAGCTTGCATGGTTGACTTTGTGATAGCACAGACGCAACGCTTTGGAAGTTGACTTTTTGGTCTCCAGGAGATGTTCCACAATACTCAGCAGTGACTGCTCTGGCCACGACTTACAACGCTACTGTTCTCCAGATAGACAGGAAAACTCCTGGAAAAATGTGAATTCCATTTCTAATGGGGCCAGAGTGGCAAGCAGATGTTAGAGCAGGCAACACACCTGAGCAGCACGCGTGACCATGAGTTCAAGTCACATGAGCTCTACGAGCTCCCAGGGTCACAGATGAACACCAACATGAAGCATGGAAGAGATCCTGGACTTCACTGCTGTGTGAGGAGAGAAATCTGTTCTCACAGAACTGCAAACCTGCAAAAAGAACGCAGATATCTATGCCAAGACTGCAAAGGGCAGGGAGGAGAAAGGATATGCCAGGTATGTCCAGCAGTGCCATGTGAAAATAAAGGAGCTGAGGCAGCTGTACCAAAAGACAAAGGAGGCAAAGGGACAGTCTGGAGCATCGCAAAAACATGCCACTTCTACAAACAGATGAATGAAATCCCTTGGGGTGGAACCCAACCAGCTTCCCAAGTCAGGCCATGGATTCCTTCCAAGACACTCCTCAAGCAGCAGCGTGGAGGACTGCATAGTGGAGGAGGAAAATGGTGAGCAGGCAAGCAGGGCAACCAATGTCACCGAGAGGAAGTTTCTTTTTATAACCTTGGAGACAATCTCCTCCTCCAAGGACATCTCACAGCTGGGCACTGATCCTAGGGAGTTCACGTTTTTATCAGGCCACAAGTGATTTAAGGCAATTGGGTGTGATCTGTGGTGGCCACTGTGCCTACACAGCAGGGGATCTCTGGAACAGCTTGTAATGTGTCTGGAGACAGAGCAGAAATCCTCCCTGAATCTCCACAAAGCTCTCATAGAGCAACTTTTTAATCCTTCTCACAAGGTTTCTGGGGAGGCCAGCCTCACTCCGTCCTCCACGGCAGGACACCGTTCCATGCCAAGCCAGCAGTACATGGTCTGGCATCATTGCACCGCAAAGTACTGCAGCATAAGGTCCAGTTTTTTGGCCACATTCAGTTGGCATCTGATCCCTAACACTGAGAGATTTGGAGAAGACTGATATCTTGGGTAGCAATCTGGATGAAGTGGGGGAAGCTATTAGCTGACGCCTTTACAGTAAACCTCTATTTGCTCATCCTCAATAAAGCATGGTAGAGCTCTGCCTGCTCCTGTGCGAAGGGAAAGTTGCACTCTCCTGGCAAACGGGGTGCTGAACACATGGTCGTCATGTGATCCCCTGCCCTGCCGCCACACCCAGACCCTCTCCCACCTCCTTCCCATAAGCTGGTGCCCTGGCCTGTCCCTGAGCATGCTTGCCACCAAATCGAGTCCAGCTGCTCTCCTAAGAACTCTAAGGTGTACTTGCTGCATAGTGGCCACTTAGAAGCATATCTGTGGCTTTGTACATAACACATCCCTATTGTCTCTAGGACATTTTATTCTACCAGATTAGATTTTACACTCTACAATTTATCTCCTGTGAAGTCTGCCCTTCACTTTTTGTTACAGCAGGAACAGCAGTCAGCCTGCTGCACACTTCCCCAGTCCTGCCAGCTGTCCACCTGGCACAAATCTGCAGGTGAAAATGGACTAGGGAAGAGATGCTCAAGGAACAAATTCAATCTACCAACTTGGACAGGGAGCGCCTAAGCGAGTGAAGGAATATGTTGCTGAAGGAAATGTGCACTGAGCATGAGGAAAGGAGAGCATGCAGGGAACTGGAAGTGAAGCACCAGGAGAAGGTCTTGTTGCCCATGGCAACTGTGATGAACTGCATGGCAGTTTTCCAGGATGCCTACCTGAATAGGCACCCTTTCCAACCCTTATGGCCCAACATTCCCTCCTCACGGAGTTCTACAGCCTCCACTCTGAGGGACCCTAGAACATGGGGGATGAGGGAAGAAGTCAAGGATAGTCTCACATTCAGTCCCCAAGGATGTGTCATGAAGCAAAAGGCTGCCCTTGCAATTGTGATCACCCTCTTCCAAAGTTCCCACCATTGACTCCTTTTCTTTCCTTGCTTTGTTTCCTAAATAAAAATGCATGATTTCTGAATAACAGTCTCTTTGTTGCTTGTACTGGAGTGATGTGGGGTTACAGGCAAGCACACTGAATGCACCTTGTTGACAGCAACATGCAAGCCTCTCAAAACTGGCCATTCATAAAACTGTATTTCAAAGCCTCTTTGATTTGTACTGTACCTCGCTGTGCTCTCTTTATTGCCCTGGTATATGGTGTCTCTAAATCCCTGTCTAGGCACTGTGCCTTGCTCACCTACACTGCCAGATAATTTCCCCCCTTACTCTCACAGCAGACTACCACCACAATGGGAACGTTGCATTTGCTGAGATCTAACCTAGTTAGTAGACTGCAGAACCTCCCCTTTAAATGTCCAAAGGCTCACTGTACCACCATTCTGCACTTGCTCAGCCTATAGTTGAACTGTTCCTTACTGTGGTCCAGGCTGCCCATGTAAAGCTTTGTAAGCCACAGAAACAAGGGGTGGGCTAGATAGCCAAGGATCACTATTGGCACTTCAATGTCTCTGATGGAAATTTTCTAGTCTGGGAAAAAGTTCCACCTTGCAGCTTGCCAAAGAGGCAGGGATTCCTAAAGGTGCGAGCCTCATGCTCCTTTCCCAACCCTCCCACACTGATGTCAGTGTAAAGGCCCTTGTGATCTACCAGCCCGTGCAGCACCATTAAGAAGTACCCACTGTAGTAATGTACTTGTTTTCCAAGGTGGTCAGGTACCAAGATGGGTATTACTAACCTGACTGCCTTCTATGACTAGCTGGCTTTGTGGATATGGGGAAGGTGGTGGACATGATATACCTTGACTTTAGCAAAGCTTCCGATATGGTCTCCCAGGGTACGTCTATACAGCAATGTTATTTCGAAATAACTTTGTCCACGTCTACACAGCAGGCAGCTATTTTGAAATAATTTCAAAATACTGTCAAGCTGGAGGACTTCTGACTCTTGTAACCCTCATTGTATGAGGAGTAAGGGACATCGGAAGAAAAGTGCTGTGTTTTGAAATAAGCGCTATGTAGATGCTCCCAATTTCAAAATAAGCTACGTAATTGATGTAGCTCAGTTTGCGTAGCTTAGTCCTGCTGTGTAGTAGGGATGTTAAATATTGGTTAATTGAATAGTCGAGTAACCTCAGGAATTCTTATTGGCGAGTTGACTATTCTATAGTCCCTGGGGGTGCAGCGCAGGGTGCCAGGCAGGAGCCAGTTTAAAAACCAGCTCCTCCTGCGTACCGGTTGCTTGTTGCCCAATATTGCTGCCTCTGATAAAGAGGCAATAGTGTGGGGTGGCAGGAGCTCTGGTCTGGGGAAGAGGGGAGTTTGAGCTCCCAGCTCCTAATACACTTTAAATGAAGAGCCACGAGGGGGTAGGTCCTGGACCCGGCGTGAGCCAGAACTGAGCTAGGCTGCTGGCCAACCTGCTAAAAAATTTGAGTGCGGGAGGGGGGAGGAAAATGCGTGTAGTCTATAGCATTAACCTATAAGGTTTTGCTTATCGGTTAATCAACTATACTATTACATCCCTACTGTGTAGATGCATGCGCGCGCGCGCACACACACACACACACACACACACACACACACACCCCCCCCCATGTTCTTGCCAGCAAGTTAAAGAAATATAGATTAGATAAATGGACTGTAAGGTGTAAGCGGGGAAGGGATAGCTCAGTGGTTTGAGCAGCAGCCTGCTAAACCCAGGGTTGTAAGCTCAATCCTTGTGGAGGGGATTTGGGGCAAAAATTTGTCAGGAATGGTACTTGGTCCTGCTGTGAAGGCAAGGAACTGAACTCAATGACCTTTCAAGGTCCCTTCCAGTTCTAGGAGATAGGCAATCTCCATAAATTTCATTGGATAAAAAGCTGGCTGAATCATTGGGCTCAATGTCTGTTTGGCGGTTGGTATCAAGAGTGCCCTTTTATTCAGCACTGGTTAGGCCACATCTGTAGTACTGCATCCAATTCTGCCCCCTGCCCTCCCCCCCATTACAGAAAGAATGTAGACAAATTGGAGAAAGACCAGTGGGGGGACAAGAAAAATGATTAGGAGGCTGGAGCACATAACTTACGAGGAGAGGGGGAATTTGATAGCTGCATTCAACTATATGAAGGGAGTTCCAAAAAGGATGGAGAGCAGCTGTTCTCTGTGGTATCAGATAAGAGAACAAGGAACAATGGTCTAAAACTGCAGTGGGGAAGGTCTAGGTTGGATAGTAGGAAAGAATATTTCACTAGGAAGGTGGTGAAGCACTGGAATGGGTTACCTGGGGAGGTGATGGAATCTCCATTCCTAAAAGTTTTGACAAAGCTCTGGCTGGGATGATTTAGATGGGATTGGTCCTGCTTTTAGCAGGGGATTGAACTTGATGACCTGCTGAGGTATCTTCCACCCCTATGATTCTATGTGCATTCCATCTACTGCCCTAACACAGTTAGGGAATCCCAGCATGGCAAAGCTTTCCACTATGTCCTCCACATTTCCCCGAATCACTACCCTTTATAGCAGAGGGGTATTGGATTGCCTTTTCTACTTCGATCACAACAGCCCCCACTGTAGATTTCCCCACCAAATTGATTCCCAACTGACCTGTGGCTGTCTGGCGTTGCAAGCTTCCATGGGACAATTGCCACTCACTTGTCCACTGTCAGAGTGGGTCTCATTCTGGTATTCTTGTACTTCAGGGCAGAGGAAAGCAATTTGCAAACTTCCATGAAAGTGGCCTTATGCATGCAAAAGTTTTGAAGCCACTGCTGATAGTCCCATAGTTGCATAACTATGCGGTCCTACTAATCTGATCTTGTCTGATGGCACTAGAACAGACTTCCACTGTATCTTGCAATTTGCTCAAGTGCTTTGCTGAAGTGTGTTTTCATGGACTCCTGAGAATCTTCCTCGTTCTGGCGGACCTTGGATACGCTCTGGACATACTCCAGCACTAGGCGCACCAAGATTAACATCATCATCATGCTTTGATGCTCAACAGGATCCATGATGGGTTCCATGCTTAGGCTGCTAGGGCATCTGTGTGAATAACCAAGGGAAAGAAGGGCGCAAAAAGACTGATTGCCATTGGTCTTATGCATGTGGCAAGGGAGGAAATGAGTGCATTATATGACACTGATGACGTTTACCCAGAACCACCGCCTTACAGTTTTGCTCCCAGCATGCCCTGAGAGCACAACCCAGAATGCGAAGGGGTGAAGGCACTGTGGGATAGCTGTCCACAGTGCATTCCTCTCAAAGTTGACGGTAGCCACACTACTGAGGATGTACTACTTCAGACTACATCAGATTCTTGCACAAAGTGCAGACATGCACTTTCAACATTACAAAATTGGGTGTTAAAAAGTCAATCTTAGTAAATTGGACCTTATCTAGTAGTGTAGACTTTACCTCAATTATGGCTGTGCAGCCCCCTTTAACCTTTAATAAAACCTAAACAACCCAAGCTTGACTTTTAGAGTTCAGTTTGAATCTGCAGCTGACATTTAGAGAAACTATCATTCTACTTGTAAATTATTGATTCACAAAAACAAAGAACCTCACAATTCTATTTTACAGTAATTTTTCAGAACAGAATAGGACTTTAAATAACAAAATCGCTGAGAAAGCCAATTAAGAAGTTAGTATATATTTCCAACTATAATTACAAAGTTCTTACAATTTTAAAAAGATACATCATGGGTTTCCAGCAAAAAGGCAGATATTAAATATATTAGTAGTTGGAACAGATATGCTTATTAATACATCTGGCCTTTTTCCTTGCTGACATAAATTGGTATTTCCCATTGTCCTAAAACTGCGATATTGAATTTTTTAAAAGTTAGCTCAACTCAAACATCTATTAGAAAAGGGTTTTACTGAACGCAGTTCCAGCCTCATGATGTAGGTATTTTATAGGAAACACACCCTATATCCATATTGAGGCCCAACTTAAATGTATACCCCAAGTTTAAAAACACAGTAAGAGAACCATAAAAGTGCCACTGTGGCTTAACTACTAGGTAAAAGAAGCAGTGATAGATAAAAAGACATCTTTTAAAAAGTGGAAGTCAAATCCCAGTGGGGAAAATAGAAAGGAGCATATACTGTGTCAAATTAAGTATAAAAATATAGTAAGAAAAGCCAAAAAGGAGTCTGAAGAACAGTTAGCCAAAAACTCAAAAAGTAAGTCTGAAATGTTTAAGTTCATCGGAAGTAGGAAGCCTGCTAAACAGTCAATGGTGCCCTTGGAAGATCGAGATGCTAAAAGAGCACTCAAAGATGATAAAGTCATTGCGGAGAAGCTAAATGAATTCTTTGCTTCAGTCTTCATGGCTGAAGATTTTGGGGAGATTCCCAAACCTGAACCATTCTTTTTAGGTGACAAATCTGAGGAAGTGTCCCAGATTGAGGTGTCATTAGAGGAGGTTTTGGAACAAATTAATAAACTTAACAGTAACAAGTCACCGGGACCAGATAACATTCACCCAAAGGTTCTGAAGGAACTCAAATGGGAAATTGTGGAACTATTAACTGTGGTTTGTAACCTATCCTTTAAATCAGCTTCTGTACCTAATGACTGGAAGATAGCTAACGTGACACCAATATTGAAAAAGGGCTCTAGAGGTGATCCTGGCAATTACAGACCGGTAAGTCTAACGTCAGTACCGGGCAAATTAGTTGAGACTATAGAAAGAATATAATTATCAGACACATAATTTGTTGAGGGAAAGTCATTATGGTTTCTGTAAAGAGAAATCATGCCTTTCTAATCTACTAGTGTTCTTTGAGGGGGTCAACAAGCATGTGGACAAGGGGGATCCAGTGGATATAGTATACTTAGATCTCCAGAAAGCCTTTGACAACATCCCTCACCAATGGCTCTTGAGTAAAGAAAGTTGTCATGTGATAAGAGGGAAGGTCCTTTCATGGATTAACAACTGGTTAAAAGACAGGAAACAAAGGGTAGGAATAAATGGTAAGTTTTCTGAGTGGAGAGAGGTAACTAGTGGGGTCCCCCAAGGGTCTGTCTTGAGATCAGTCCTATTCAACTCATTTACTCCTTTCTCTAGATCATTTATAAACAGTGAAGTGTCAAAATTTGCAGATGATACCAAACTGCTTAAGATAGTCAAGACCAAAGCAGGCTGTGAAGAGCTTCAAAAAGATCTCACCAAAATAAGTGATTGGGCAACAAAATGGCAAATGAAATTTAACATTGAGAAATGTAAAGTAATACACATTGGAAAAAATAATCCCAACTATTCATACAATATGATGGGAACTAATTTAGCTACAACTACTCAAGAGAGATTTTGGAGTCATTATGGATACTTCTCTGAAAACATCCACTCAATGTGAAGCAGCAGTCAAAAAAAGAAAATAGAATGTTAGGAATAATTAAAAAAGGGATAGAGAAAAAGACAAAATATCTTATTGCCTCCACATAAAACCATGATATGCTCACATCTTGAATACTGCATACAGATCTATCTCAAAAAAGATATATTGGCATAGGAAAAGATTCAGAGAAGGGCAACAAAAATTATTAGAAGTTTGTAATGGGTTCCATATGAAGAGAGATTAAAAAGACTTGGACTTTTTATCTTAGAAAAGAGGAGACTAAGGGGGTATATGATAGAGGTCTATAAAATCATGACTGTGCAGGAGAACGGATGGATGCATAGTCTGGCAAGGAGGGAGGGTGCAGGCCACGGTGGGGGTAGGATGTCTGGCCAGGAGGGAGGGAGCAAAAGCAAGGGAAGGTGTAGTGTGTGGCCAGGAGGGAAAGTGCAGGAGAACGGATGGATGCAGAGTCTGGCAAGGAGGGAGGGTGCAGGCCACGGTGGGGGTAGGATGTCTGGCCAGGGAGAGGCTGCAAGAGTATCCTGGGTGTGCGGGGTCTTGGAGGAAGGTTACGTGAGGTGGGTGAGAGTGCAGGATCTGGACATGAGGACATGGTGGGGAGAAACTTGCTTGCTTTTGAACTCTGCGCGGCTCCCAGGCACGGCCTCCCACTGCTCCCAATGGCCAGATTCCAGCCAATGGGAGCAGCAGGGAAAGCCTCAAGGCAGCAGGTCAGTGCACTGCTGTTTCCCCAGCCAGGGTAGAGAGAGGGGGAGTGGCAGTGTGCAGAGCCACCTCTGGCTCTGCTTCTTCCCAGCGAGGCGGATCCAGCAGGGAGGCTCCAGGCTCACCCTGCCCCC